TTAAATTTCTTTTCTGTATAATCATAGGAATGAAAGAGACCTCAGAAAGTCATCAAGTCCAGCCCCTGCCCAAAGCAGGACCAATCCCAACTAAATCAACCTAGCCAGGGCTTTGTCAAGCTAACACTTAAAAACCTTTAGGGATGGAGATTCAACCACCTCTCTAGGTAACCCATTCCAGTACTTCACCACCCACCTAGTGAAATAATTTCTCCTAATATCCAACCTAGACCTCCCCCTAATCCCTAATTCATACCACACAAAACTCAGGGATTACAATCACTATGTGTAATTTGTTGTTGTGTGTGACAGTAAGGAGGTCTGAAGTCCATTTATCTCCAAAATGAACATCTATCAGATTTTCTTTATACCTTTTATTCTTTATATGACAAAGCAAAACATTACAAATTATGTGGTTACATTTTGTGGCTGTTGGGTTAAAGAAAAATTATAACTTCTTGGAGTGCACAATGCTAATTTTTGAAATTGCCTCAAATAAGAACGGGCAAGACAATTTGGCTTTTTATTTGCTAAGTGTCACAAAGGCACAAATCCTTGCCATACTTGATGCCAAGTAGCTCCGTGGCACCTTAAAAACTAACAAAAATATATAGGCTACGTCTACACTGGCATGATTTTCCAAAAATGCTTTTAACGGAAAAATTTTCCGTTAAAAGCATTTTTGGAAAATCATGCCAGTGTAGACGTAGCCTATATATTTTTGTTAGTTTTTAAGGTGCCACGGAGCTACTTGGCATCAAGTATGGCAAGGATTTGTGCCTTTGTGACACTTAGCAAATAAAAAGCCAAATTGTCTTGCCCGTTCTTATTTGAGGCAATTTCAAAAATTAGCATTGTGCACTCCAAGAAGTTATAATTTTTCTTTAACCCAACAGCCACAAAATGTAACCACATAATTTGTAATGTTTTGCTTTGTCATATAAAGAATAAAAGGTATAAAGAAAATCTGATAGATGTTCATTTTGGAGATAAATGGACTTCCAAAAGCAGCCATAGTGTCATGAGCTTTTGTGGATGAAGTGGGTCTTATCCACAAAAGCTCATCATATTATACATTATGCTAGTCTCTAAGGCCATGTCTACACTACAGATAAGATCGAAGCAGCTGCAGTCGAACTTCTGGGGTTCGAATTAGTAGATCTACTGAAGACACATTAATTCAAACTGGGAGGGTGCTCCCATTCATGCCGGCAGTCCTGCTTCTTTGAGGAGTAAGGGAAGTAGAAGGGAGAGTGTGCTTCCTTCAACTTCCCATAGCGTGGACTAGGGATGTTAAGAGGCGGGTATTTAAGTAATCGAGTAGTCGATGGAATTTGTATTGACTATTCGATTAGTTGATAGGCAGTCTAGCTCAGTCCCAGCTTGCACCCAGCTTGCACCCAATCCTGCTGTGGCTCTGCAATTTAAAATGCAGTAGGAGCCGGGGGGGGGGGGGGGGGCGGGGCGCG